GTGTTGAATTTTGTCAAATGATTTTTATTAGGTATTAAGATGATCGTGTGATTTTTATTCTTGGTTTTCACAATGTGCTTGATCATATTTACTGATTTTCATGTGTTCGAGTGAGTATCCCAAGTATAAATCCCATTTGGTTGTGGTATGTAATTCTGTTAATGTGCTGATGAATTTTGTTTGCTAGTATTTCATTGAGAATTTTTATCTCTGTTTTCATCAGGGATGACTTCCTGTTGTTTTCTTTTCTTGTGGTATAGTTGATTGTTACTAGAGTAATGCTCACCTCATGAATTAAGTTTGGAAATGTTCCCTTCCTTTCTGAAAGAGCTTCAGAATGATTTCCATTAATTCTTTAAATTTTTGTAGGATTCATCAGTGAAGCCATCTGGTCATTCCTTGTTGGGAGACTTTTAACTACTAATTCAATCTCCTTATTAATCATAAGTATGTCCAGACTTTCTATTTTTTCATTATTCAGTCTTAGTGCATCCAAGGTTTCTAGGAATTTATCCATTTCTATTAAGTTATCCAATTTGTTGGTATATAATTATTTATAATAGTTTCTTATGATTTTGTCATTTCTGTAGCATTGATTATATTATCTCTTTGTTTTCTGATGTTTTCAGTATTCTCTTTTATTCTTTGTCTATGTAAAGATTTTGTCTATTTTAACTTTAGAAAACTAACTCAATTTTGTTTATCTTTCCTACTGTTTTTGTAGTCCCTTTCATTTAGTTCTGCTCTGATCTTTATTTCCTTCTTTCTACGAACTTTGGTCTTAGCTATTTTGTAGAGTTTCTTCAGGTGTAAATTTAGGTTGTTAATTGAGATCTTTCTTTTTTAAATAGATGGTTATGTTTATAAACTCTCCTCTTAGTACTGTATGGCTTTGGCTGAATACTAAATTTTTTGTTTGTTTATTTTGATTTGGTTTTTTGAGATGGGGTCTGGCTATGTAGTTCAGGCTGTCTTTAAACTCTCTACGTAGTGCAGGCTGGCCTCAAACTCATGATGTTCCTCCTTCCTCAGTCTCCTGAGTGCTGGGAATACAGGTGTATGCCACCACACTTCTCTTGAATACCATAAGTTTTAGTATGTTGTGTTTTGTTTTTATTTTTCTCAAGATATTTTTAAATTTCCTCTTTGATTACTTCTTTGGCTTACTGAGTCTTCAAAAAGTGTTATATAGCCCACATATTTCAAATTTTTCAATTTTCATTCAGCTATTAGTTTTAATTAATACATGTTCTCAGTACATCTGATTACATTTTTTGTGAGGAGTTGGTATATGTACACAGTATGTCTTCTTTCTTTTTTGTTTTCATCCTCTCACCTGTTTCCTTCAACTCTTGGTCTCCTTCCCATTTGGAAAAGCTCTGTTTTCATTATCATTCTTCCTTTCAATTCTTTTTTCCCGTCCTATTTCCCTTCTGTCTCTCCTTCCTCTTTCCAGGTTTTGATTTCTAATTTCATTCCATTGTGGTTGGAAAAGATACTTGGTATGTTTGAATCTTCTTGTTTTTTCTTCATAAGTTTGTTAAGACTTGTTTTATGACTAAGTGCAGTTAATCCTAGATACTGTTGTATGTATATATGAGAAGAGTATATATGCTGCTGTTGGTTGGAGGATTTTGTACATGTATATTAGGTCTAATTCATAGATGATATTTTTCTGGTGCTCTGTTTCTATGTGCATTTTAGGAGAATGTATATTCTGCTGCTGAGTAGACTGTTCTACACGTGTCTTTTAGGTCCAGTTAGCCGACAGTATTGTCCTCTGTTTGCTTTTTGATCTTCTATCTAACTGATCTATCCCTTTTTGTTTTTTTATTTTTTTATTTTAAAGAGAGTAGTAAATGAGAAACAAAGAAATAGAACAGTAGCAGCATACCAGTATCACGAACATAAACAAATCAAAGCAAGAACATTCAAAGTGATACAGAGTCTCAAGACAAAATAATGTGAATCAACAGTGGTTGTTACATTACATATTGCTGTCCTCAACTACATTGCTCAGATTACCAGATGTAAGAATGAAAGACTGCTCAAACCATTATAGGGAATAAGAAAATAAGTCTTTGACAAAACAGTAGAAATAATACAGAGTTTCACTAGACAAGATGGTAGGAGTTCACCACTGTAATTCCATTGCATATTGTTACCTTCAAATCAGTTGCTCAGACCACCAGACACAAGCATGCCCAATTGATCAGAACAAAAATATGGAACGCTTCACGAATTTGAGTGTCATCCTTGCACAGGGGCCATGCTAGTCTTCCCTATATCATTCCAATTTTAGTATATGTGCTGCCATATACACACGAGCACCTCTATCCTTTTTTAAAAAGGAGTTTTCAAATGATCTATGGTTATTATGTTGCTGTGGATTTCTCCCTTCAAGTGTGTACATTGTTGTTCCCTAGGTTTTTTGTTCAGTACTTTACTGTTAGGTGCATATTTAATATTTCTTATTTCTTCCTTTTGAACAGACACTTTTATTCTTAAATATATTATTTTTCTTGTACAACAATTTTTTTGACCTAAAATCTATTTTATTTGATGTAAGTATGACCACTTCCCACTTTTGCGTACCATTTAGGAAATCTCTTGTAGACACCATATTGTTAGATGTTTTGTTTATCCATTCAGTCAACCGCTGTCTTTTGATTTTAGAATTTAATGTTTATATTCAAATAATTATTGGTAGAATAAGACTTACTATTGCTCTTTTACTCTTTCCTGTTTTGTAGCCTTAATGCCTATTTTCTTCTTTTGCTGCCTTTCTTTGTATTTTATTCACTTCTTTCTGTAGAGACATATTTTGATTCCTTTCTCACTTTCTTTTGTATGTCTTTAGATTTTTTGTGGTTACCATAGGACTTACATAAAGCATCTTGTAATTACAACAGTCTATTTGAGATCACATCAACTTATTTTTAGATGCACACAAAAACTCACCACATATATTTTGGCTCCCACTTTGTTATTGATATCACAAAGTACATATTTTATATTTCCAATAATACATGTTAAAGTTATCATTCTTTATTTACACTTTTACCTATTACTTTCTGTGCTAGAACAAAATGATATATGTATATCTTTTCAGTATTCCAGTATTCTCTTTTGTGTACATGTTTACTTTACCACTGAGCTTTATACTTTCAAATGCTTTCAGATTGCTTGCAGTTGTCCTATTTTTCAACTTGAAGACTGCCTTAACATTTTTTGTAAGGCAGGTCTAGCAGTGATGACCTCCCTCTGCTTATGTTTTTTTTTGGTTTTTCTCCGGTACCAGGAACCGAACTCACGACCTTGCGCTTGCCAGGCAGGCGCTTTGCCGCTGAGCTAAATCCCCAGCCCCTTCTGCTTATGTTTATATGAGAAAATCTTTATTTCTTTCTTCTCTAAAGACAACTTTTTCTAAATATAGTACTCTTTATTAGCAATGCTTTTCTTTAAGCACTTTGAGTTCAGCATTTCATTTCCTTCTGGCCTGAAAGTTTCATGATGACACTGTTATGGGGCTCTCTTGTATGTGACAAGGCACTTTTCTCTTCCTCCTTTTGAAAGTCTTTGTATTTGACATGTGACAGTTTGATTATAATGTATGTTAATTTTAAGTTCTGTGGATTCATCCTACTTAGGTTCTGTTGAGCTTCATAGATCTGAAGATCCATTTTCTTCCCTATATTTGGGATGCTTGGTCCATTGTTTCTTTAAATAATCTTTCTTCTTTTTCTTTTCTCTTCTTTTACTGCCATGATGTGCATATCGGTCTACTTGACGGCTTCCCATAAGTTTCTTAGGTTTTCTTCATTCTTTTTCACACTTTTTGTTTCTCTGACCTATAATTTCAAGTTACATATCTCCATGTTTTCTAGTGTCTTTTCCTATTTCATCAAGTCATCTGTGATTTTTTTTTTTCAGTTTACATGCTTACTGTATTCTATAGCTTGGGATTTTACTGTTTTTCCAAAATATTTTCATTGCTTTGTAGACATTCTTATTTTGTTCATACACCATTTTTCTGACCTTCTGTATCTTTATGATCGTTATTTTAAATTCTGTGTCAAATGATTTGGATACTTTTTCTGTTTTGAGTTACTTTTTGGAGATTTATTCTATTTGTTTGTTTTGGCCATGATTCCTTATTTCTTCCTGTGTTTTTATACCTTTGTGTTTAACAAAATGGCTGCTTCTTCAAATCTTCTAACTGGCTTCATCAGGCAGAAGCTTTTGTCAGTCAACCTGATCAGAGATTCTGGTAGCCTTTCAAATCTTTCCTGTGGATGCTTCTCCAAACTTGTGTATGTAAATTCCAGATTAAAAGGATTTGCTAGTTCCTTTTTTTCCCAGTTCATACTGTCTTGTCCCCTGGTGCCTCTTTGTGGTACCTCATGTTCTTCAGAACTTCTCCCATCAAGCTTCTGAAGTGTGCTGGGTTCCATCAGTGATTTGAATCTGCTGAAACCAATTTTGTGGGGAATCCTCTTAAAGTAAAAATATTGGACAGTCAGTGCACCCTTTCTCCCCTTACCCCAAGGAGAGGCCACTGAGCTATATTAAAATCTCTGCTACATTTCCTGAAGAGCAGTAGCACATCACTCAGACCTTTAATTCTCAAAGGCCCCCAGGCATTCAGAGTATTTTGAGTCTTGTCGCCCTTCTGGAGCAAATGAGACATATATCAATCTCTTCAGAAGCTCCTGGAAAAGACAGCATTTTGAGCTCAGGCGCTAATTCTTTCCTTCTACAAGGAGAACCTAAGGATTGAGAGTTTTCACCTTCCTTTTCCATTCTGTACTGGAAGGATGTGCTTCAGTGCTTGCATTCTAGCCCAAACTTTTGCCTTTATTTTTAGTAGTCCCCAACCTGGTATCCCTTTCCACTAGTACTCAGATTCAAGCAAGACACATCTCGGTTGCTGAACTCTTTCCCTCCCCAAAAAGTCTGCATGTGGGACGTATATTTCAGTCTTCTTTTTTCTTCCCCAGGGAGAAGCAAAGAATTGGGAGTTTTCCCCTGACTGCATTGTGCTGAGATTGGCAGAGACCATGACAAGTAAGTAAGACAAATTTCCTCCTGGCTTCAGTGTGGCTGGTTTCATGCTTACCTGTGATGCAGGAATCTGTTTTCAGATTTCTTTTGAAGGGAATTAGTCTATGTATTTATTGTTGAATTTATATCTCTGGTTGGAGAAATGAAGATATCAGGCTTTCAATTCTGACATCACCAGTTTCCGTTTTATTATTTGTTTTTTGTTTGTTTCCTGTTTTGTTTTGCTCTTTGAACACATTTTTCTTATCTCCCAGAATTCCAATGATACATACAAATGCGAGATGTTTTGTTACAGCTCCACGGATTCCTTAGGGTCTGTTCTTTTTCCTATTTTTATGCTCTTTTTACTCTTTCTTAAGATTGAGTAAATTTTACTGATCTATCTTCAGCTTCACTGATTGTATTCTTTCTCATATCTACTCTAGTAATGAATCCATCTAGTAATTTGACAAAATAGCTATATTTTACAGTTTTATAGCTTGCATTTGATTGTCTTAAAAACCTTAACTCATTTATTTGCTGACATTTTCTATTTTTTCTATTTACTTCAATCGAGTTTTAGTTATTTGTTGAAGCATGTTTACGATAGTGGTTTTAAAGTCCTTGATTCTCGTTATCTTGATATTGTTTAGTCAATTGTTTTATATTATTCAATTTGTAATTTTCCCAGTTCTTGGTATGAGGAATGGGTTTTCCATTGCATCTTGGACATTTTGTTACTATTTTAGAAATCTCTTGATCCTATTTCAATCAGGCAGTCCAGGTTTAGAATACAGGTCCTGGCCTACTTTTTGGGTTTCTGGTTCAATGATAAAACTATCATTGAGCCATTTTTGGAGCCATTTCCGTATTAGTCTGATCTGTTTTGTTCTTCTGACACTGCTGCAGATCTTGCTTATTTCCTATTGGTATCAACTTCTGGGGCTTACAGCACTTTCTTGGGTTATCTGGTGTCATTAAGCTACCTTTGCTCATAGGAGTTGAAGCAGAAGGCAGTGGGACTGAATCTTTTTATGCTGCTACATGTAGTACTAGGAGATGGTGGTGTCCTAGGTACAGCATGGAGAGTAGGTAGATCCAGCACGTTGACATTGCCATTGCAGTTTGGCCAACCAGGCTATAAATGCCACTTATATTAAGCCAGGATTGGGTTGGTCTGCTGGGGATTTGTTGCTGCCCCTGTGGGCTGCCAACATAATGGTTGTAGATTGGAAGTTAGGATGGCGTGGCACAACTTTGAAATTCCTTCTGTGGGTGGATCAGTACACCTGCTGGTGTCCAGGTTGTGGAGAAGTTGGGTTTGTCAAGGTTTTGCACCTGAAGTCTGCCTCTGAGCAAGGCAGATTACTTTCAGGTGTTTCCATTCGCAAGCGAGGACTGAGACAGCACAGTAGGTCTGTTGGGTTTCTCTTCCAAGTATTTAGAACAAGGAAAATAGGTTTTATTTTGTGATTTTCTTGTTCTTAGTTACAGTAGAATCCTGAAATTCCCAGGGGTTACACTTCTAGAGCACCCATGAATTGTGTAAAACCACAAATTTCAGATATGGTCAGAAAAATGCCTGCAAATGCATATTTTTATAGTTTAAACCCTAAATATGCTATGCTATCTGCAGTTATGTACATTAATTTAATAAAATACTGTATTAATAAAGCCTTAGAAGGTGCAGGGCATTTTGGAAGCCTCTTAGCGATCCTAGGGCTTTATGAAGAAAAAGACCAAGAATACCTGAGATAGGTAGACGCAGTACAGCAACTTTTTTGATGCGGGAATGCTGATGCATCTGCAGGGCAAGGACAACTAAGTAACACTGTCTAATTGGCTACTTGCAAACCTCAAAAAAAACCCCAACAAACAAACAAACAAAAAACAGGTGTTGAGGATAATTACCGTTTTCATGAAATTGCGTGGATTTCCGCAAACAATTATTAGTTAGGGGGGCTGGGGATTTAGCTCAGCGGCAAAGCGCCTGCCTGGCAAGCACAAGGTCGTGAGTTCGGTTCCCAGTACCGGAGAAAAACCAAAAAAAAAAAAAAAAAAAAAAATTATTAGTTAGGTTCTAAGAAAAATTTCTCGAACAACCGAGAATGCAAACTCGAGACTTAACAGAGGTGTACTGTTTGCCTTTTGCTCCTTATGGGTTGCATGCCTCCCTGGTGCCTCCCTCTGGGATATTTGCAGATACAAAAAAAAAGTCTGGGTTGTCATGTAGTTGTTATCCCTCAAAGCATGAGGTCCCTAACATTCTTTTCATATTTCTGACTCTCTTTTTCTTTTCTGTTCAAAAATTTTCAGAGTATTTAGAGGGGGAGAAATAGGGAGGTAGGTTACGGCATCTTCTTCCAGAGATATGGGATATATTTTAAAGGTCAAACTAACAATATTTGCTACTGGTGAATTGCATTTGGGATATGAGAGAAGGATAATCAAGGGTAATTCTAAAACTTTTAGACTAAGCAACAAAGTAAGTGTTGACACTATCAACAGAGAAGGGAGGTCATGGAGGATGACCAGATTTGGTGGGGCTGGGGCTTGCAATTAAGCCTTATGCTGTAGGTATGTTAACTTTGAGGGAATTTAAGTGATGATGCCTAGTACACAATTAGACTTTCAAATTTATACTTCAGGCATGGTGTTAAAATTTGGGAGTCCTTAGATTATGAAAGGTTTTAAAACCATGAAACTTAATAAAAAGTTCATAGGAAATGAGGATATCTAGAGAAGAATTCCAAGGACTATTCTTGGCACATTGCAATATTTAGAATTCAGACAGTAAAGGATTTAGTAAAGGAAAACAAAATAAAACAAAAAATGGTGTCCTAGTCGTGGAATAGAAGTTGGGGTTCCCAAAACTTTGCTACCAGACGTCTGCCTTTCTATACAAAGCAAATTATTTTCAGTTGTTTCCATCTTGAAGCAAGGACTGAAGCTAGTAATATGGGAGGAAAGTAATTGTTCTGAAACCCAAGTGAAGGAGTTATTTCCAGAATAAAGGAATGACCAATTGCACAGATGTTGCTGACACATCAAGTACAATGAAAAATTAACTATAAGATTTGTTAATGTGGAGATTATTGTTGATATCAGTGAGAGAGAGATCCTTGGAGATCTGAAATCGAAAGACTAATTGGAAAAGGTTCAAGAGAGTGACAAACAAGGTAATGGAATAAGGGAGAAGGGATAATTATTTGGAGGAATTTTCTGTGAAGTGAAGCGAAGAAATGGATGGAAGCGAAAGTGTTTCCTTTTCCAAAAAAAAGAAAGAGAAGAGAGAATGCTTATATGCTGGAAGGAATTATCCAGTAGAGAGGAAAAATATTCATGATACAAAAACAGGAAAAATGAGATTCAGTGTGCAGATGAAGGACTTGACCTTGGTAACAGTAGCAGGGTAGGAGATATAATCTATCAGTATAGGTAGAATGAGGAACTTTGTTCAGAAAAGATGATGAAGTTCTCTTTTGATAGCATTTATTTGATATTAGTATCAAGGCTATCACCTTAGAATAAGAAGGGGCAGAAGGTTTTAAAGAATTGAAGATTTGAGGATAAAGGATATGGGAAATATTAATCGTAATAAGTGAGAGCGTGAAACATCTAGGGAAATGGAATACTGTTAGACAGTACTGATTATACACTTCAGACAGGCTTGTTAGTATAATTTTAAAGTGAAAAGAAACTGCACTTCTAAGGGTTTTTGTTTTCGTGCATAAATTTTTGAAGCCATCACAAATTTAGGGCAAGTTGTATATATATTTTAAATAACTTTTTTTTTTGAGGCAGTCTCACTGTGTAGTTCAGGCTGGCTTTGAACTCGATTTTGTAGCTCAGGCTGGCCTTAAACTCAGGATGATACTCCTGCCTCAGCCTTCTGAGTGCTGGGATTATAGGCATGTGCCACCATGCCCAACCTCTAATAACTTTTTCAACAATAAATTTTGGGTGTAAATTGCTGACCTGATGTCCTATCATCCCTGAAAGTGAATATCCTACAAAGGCATTGTCTTCAACGACCACAAAAAATTCAGAAAAATAAAAAAATTAATAGTGGCATAATACTGCAATATAATGCTTATATCTCATTCACATTCTACCAGTTGTCTCAATAATGTTCTTCATGGAGAAAAGAAATGTTCAGAATCATGTGTTATATTTAGTGGTTATATTTCTTTAGTCTCTCTGTTGTTGTTTTTTTTTTTTTTTGTCTTTTTGAGACAGGGTCTCACCATGTAGCTCAGGCTGGACTTGAGCTCACTTTGTAGCCAGGTTGGTCTCGAACTTGCAATGATCCTCCTGCCTCAGCCTCCTGAGTGCTGGGATTACAGGTGTGCATGACCACGCCCGGCCTTTAGTCTCTTTCTGACTGGAACAATTTCCTACTCTCTCAGTGACTTTTATGAACTTTGTATTTTTGAAGATTGTACACACAATTATTTACATACATATTTATTCTATATCTATCTGTGTATATTAAAAGTCATTAATTCAATCCAAATCCTATCTAATAGGACAGAATTTGTTATAGATTTATCTGTAACAGTAAGAAACCTGACTTCCATTATACGTAATATATTTGATTACTGGAAAAATTCTCCTTATAACCAATCTCCTATTTCTACCATGTATGAGGGTATCATTTCCTTCGTCATGGGAATGATACCTTATCTTAGATGGGCTGCCTATTCTAAGGACCTTTCCCTCATGGATATCATCCTCACTGCTATTGTCTGAATGTCTGTGGACCTTCCAAATTTATTTATCAAAACCTTATTGTTAATATGAAGGTGCTAGGAGGTGAGGATTCTGAAAATTGATCATTTTATGAGACCACAACCCTCATGAGTGGTGTAACTACTCTTACAAAAGAGACCCAGGAGAGTTTTTTTGCCCCTTCTATCATGATAGGTCATAGAGACAAAATGGCCTATGAATTAGGAAGTGGCTATCACCAGATGTTGAATCTGTTGATTCACTTATCGTGGATATCTCAACCTTCAGAAGTA